TAGTTACATTATTGATAAAAAGTTCTAGAACTGATATTGTTTTCGTATGTAGACTATCTTCATGAGATCAAGCTATATTGGTAATCTAAAAATGAAACAGGAGAGTTGTAAACATTTCTACCGATGACAGAAAGCGGTTTTTTCTTTAAGATCGTCTCACGTTTGTCCACTACCTCACCTAAACCAAAGCAAAAATGTGAATGAGGATAAAAGGTCCACGGTCGTCTTAAGAAGCTCTCTTTTCTACAAAATTACGAAATACTTCATGGAATATTCCTGTTTGTAGAATAAATTAGAATCTATTTTAAATTTCAAGGTATAGAATATTGCCGTACCCTTTCACAATGTACAATTACATGCTAAAATTATTGCATTCATTTATTACAAAAACTGGTCAATCTTGCCATCTTACAGAACTTTTCTAATATGTTCTGAGATACAAGTAATTTTCTCTTCACCATGATCACTTATCAAGTTTCCCACTGCAGCCCTAATTTCATCATCATACACCATTTAGCGTTTCGCTGTAACGCGTAGCGAATCTCTTGACTTGTGAACTATGTTTCTGTACTGATCCCATACTTTTCTCTTATATGTGTGATCAGTAGTTAATAGGGGTAGACTTGACACAATGTTATTATAAACTGGCCTTTATGGACAACCAATGGCAGAATTGTAAGTGTACTTACCTATCCATATAACTTATAATTTTGCTTAATTACAATGCTTTCTTAATTAAGTCGGAAACACGGGAACATTGTTGGTTAAATTGTTTCTTTCAACACCAGTGAGCGCAATTACAATTTGGACGAAAAAGTTAAGTTTTTTAAATTTATCTTTATAGTGCGAGTTAGCATTTTATTATCAATATGTGATACTAATTGAAATAAACAACATAATGTTTAAGGGAATCATGTAACTTGTTACCATTATATTAATCAAAATGTTTGCTGCAACAATGCAGCACATGTATTCAATAACAATTTTAAATAATGCATTGAATCATGTTGTTATTAATGCAATTAAGGATGCGCCAAATAGGTCTTGATTGTAATCCGTTTTTTTTTTTCAGTGTTGAAAGATACGTCCATTATTATTGTTATAGACAATATTGAATATTGATGGTCTAAAAATTTATTATCCAAATGTTCTTTGCTACCAGAAATAAACATCGAGTTTGGATTATCTCTTCCGTTACTATTCATTTCGTGTATTATCTCAACGATAGCCCTTGTATCCCATAGCTTAAAGTGTATCCCATACATTTTGTGTAACAAGCATGACGGTTTTGGGTGTTACTTTTCATATTGCTTGATGCCGTGTTATACCGGTCGATTGACTCGACAACTGTAGAAAATCGCTATGGGAATTCCAATTGAATTTGTAAAATGTTGTTCACTAATTTTGCAACAAGACCTAAATTAATTAACTTTCATAAGATCAAAAAGACGAATTTTGGTGAGTAGCTGTATTCAATTGGGTCTTACATTGGAACTATAGAGTCCACTTCATTTATATTTAAGCACCTTATACAGAGTGTCTGTTAATTTGGTATCTTTTATAAAAGAAACGTAGAGAGTTCGAAACAGAGCAAACATGGAACAAAGAATAAAATGAAATAAATATCCTAACTTGTACCTAGAAAGTATAGCTTACAAACGAGAAAACTTCACAGGATGGTCCCGAGTAAGTGCGAGGAGAACAATATTTTTGCTGGCCCGCCGAACCGTGAATAATTCAATAGAAATATTCATATTGGGGACAGCGCCCCTCGCTCTCCTTCTGCCCGGATACAGGATGCTTATTTATTTCGTTTTATTAATTTTCTTAAATGTAAAGGAAATTGTTCTCATGATGAAGACGCGTTTTACCTATGCCCTTTTACTGGACCAAAATGTTTAGACTTCGCAAGCCTAACGAGAGCCTCACGAGAACAAAAATAGTGTTGCCGTCATATTTTTATAGATACAAGTGATTTATAATTACCAAAATATATTGATAAAATACATTGACGTTACAAAACAATGACTGCGAATTGGAAGTGTTTTTTGAACTATTTTGTTTATGCAAACGTTCAGCACACCTAGTCGTCTTTTCCATTTTACAACATACATAAAATGTATAAACGTTCAAGAGGAATTCATTACTGATTACAGTCGTTCAATGATATGCTCATTTATAAATCTTGAACTCTACGCCTTTGTAGCAACCTGTAGAGAGAGCATGTCGTCAGACAAGTAAAGACGAATGTGGCTTCTAACGCAGCACGAGCTGCATTTGAATATTTCGCTCAGCAAGTGGACGATCATGCCATCATAGCATGTATGACTTGCTTTTTCTATAGCAATAGCAACAATGTCTTTCTTTCCTCTTTATTTTTAATTTTTTTGTGTTTGTATTTGGTTTCTACATTCTAAATGATCTTATTATGTCTTCTTCTAGATATTACCTTAAAAAGTAGTTTGTATTCGTAACCTTGGTATAATAAAACAAATGATCATACGTCAACAATAGTTTTATCACGTGAAAGTGATAACAGTAAACCACGTGAAATAAATTGTATATATGGGAAATTTTTATATTTCTATTAAAAAATAAAAGCTTATCGTCTAATTTTGTTCGTAGAATATTTAAACGTCTGTGTTAAAACGTTGTTATTTGACAGATGTGGCCTTATCACACCTACAAACTGCTTAATGTAAATGATTATCATGTCCATATTCGAAACAACCGAGTTCATTCGTCAAGTTATTACAACAATTGTAACTAGACCCACATTCTCGTCTCTAACAAATCAATGGTGAATAATTTCAGAATTACAAATGAAACAATTTCCAATCTTCAAATTCCGTCACTTCCAACCACTCGCCAGTCATGCATAATCAATGAAAAGCTCAATATTTTCCGCTCAAACAGCTCTGCAGAACGAAAAATAATAAATATATATTTCTGAACGCATTTACAAGATTACAATATTAGCGAGCGCACGTCCTTCCTCTCCGGGCGCGTCATTACAAATGATAAATAGTCGGCACACTTCGATAATCAAATTCAAATTTGGAATCTGCTACCCTCGTTCTTTTTTCCGTGGCAAGGGTGTTCAGTGATTCAGCCTGTTTTGTATTGTGAGAAGATTGTGGGTTTATTAACCGTGAAGGAATGGTCTCTTTAGGCGATTGTGCACGGTAGACACGTGACCCGGAACCGATTATGGTACGGAGCGGATTTGTATGTATTTGTATGGAAATAGGGGAGCTGGAGTGACGAGATAACCGGGCGGTTATTGATAGGGATCAGCATGATTGAATTAAACCATGTTGACGTTTAGTGACGTCTTTCAATTTGCAAACAGGATGAGTAATTTATTGAGTGATTTTCAATGCAAACAGCTTCCTGCTTGTTGCATAGATGTGTAGTTTGAGATATTGATATCCGAAGTATGAAATACGTTTTTTCTTTAGATGGATGAATATCTTCCAGGATAGATTCCAGGTTTTTTTTATACTGCAAACTCTTTACTTCCGTTCTCTTACAGTTGAGACTATAGCGCACGGCACCAGAACTTCACAGAAGTAAGAAGGCCCAAAGACTCAACCTTTTTGCCACCCTGAGTAAAACTCACGCTACATGCATCTACCATCAGGGCGATTGTCTTGCTTACTGAGTTCTTTGCACTCGACCAGGTTGCTAAACTGTTTATAGCTGCTGCATAGCTGCGTCTTGTTAATTTATGTTATTATAGAATTGGTTAGCTTTATATTGTGTATGCACTATTTCTCTAATTTATTTTTATATTTAAGATATTAATGTCTCGAATATCAATAATCTTGCTAGTCATGTTGATTTATCTGTAAGCTGCTACAATCCTAGTACCAGCTAGTAACAATTAATATGTAACTGCTATAGTTTTGCGACCAACATTTAGGGGCTCACCACATTTGTTCACACGAAACATCATTAAGCTA